CATGCTAACGAAGAGAAGAAGAGAGAGAACTCAAATTACTAGCATATGGGATGAAAAAGGCAATATCACAACAGACACTTCAGAAATACAGAAGATAATCAGAAATTATTTTGAATCCTTATACTCCAATAAATTAGAAGATAGTGAAGGCATCGATAAATTTCTTAAGTCATATGATCTGCCCAGATTGAGTCAGGAGGATATAGACAACCTAAACAGACCAATATCAATTGAGGAAATAGAAGAAACCATCAAACAACTACCAACTAAGAAAAGCCCAGGACCGGATGGGTATACAGCAGAGTTTTACAAAACCTTTAAAGAAGAAATAATACCAATACTTTTCAAGCTACTTCAGGAAATAGAAAAAGAGGGAGAACATCCAAATTCATTCTACGAGGCCAACATCACCCTGATTCCTGAACCAGACAAAGACACTTCAAAGAAAGAAAACTACAGACCAATATCTCTAATGAACCTAGATGCAAAAATCCTCAATAAAATTCTGGCGAATTGGATACAAAAACATATCAAAAAAATTGTGCACCATGATCAAGTAGGATTCATCCCCGGGATGCAAGGCTGGTTCAATATACGGAAATCAATAAATGTTATTCACCACATCAATAGACTTAAAGATAAGAACCATATGATCATCTTGATAGATGCAGAAAAAGCATTCGACAAAGTACAGCATCCCTTTATGTTCAAAACACTAGAAAAACTAGGGATAACAGGAACATACCTCAATATTGTAAAAGCAGTCTATGCTAAGCCTCAGGCTAGCATCATTCTGAATGGAGAAAAATTGAAGGCATTCCCTCTAAAATCTGGAACAAGACAGGGATGCCCTCTCTCACCACTTCTATTCAATATAGTTCTTGAAATACTGGCCAGAGCAATTAGATAGAAGAAAGAAATTAAAGGCATAAAAATAGGAAAAGAGGAACTTAAATTATCACTATTTGCGGGTGATATGATCTTTTACCTAGAAGACCCAAAAGGGTCTACAAAGAAACTAATATAGCTAATAAATGAATTCAGCAAAGTGGCAGGATATAAAATCAACATGCATAAATCAAAGGCATTCCTGTATATCAGCGACAAATCTTCTGAAATGGAAATGAGGAAAACCACCCCATTCACAATATCCTCAAAAAATAAAAATAAAATACTTGGGAATTAACCTAACAAAAGAGGTGAAAGATTTATACAATGAAAACTACAGAACCCTAAAGACAGAATTAGAAGAAGATCTTAGAAGATGGAAAAATATACCCTGTTCATGGATAGGCAGAACTAACATCATCAAAATGGCGACATTACCAAAAGTTCTCTATAGGTTTAATGCAATGCCAATCAAAATCCCAATGGCATTTCTTGTAGAAATAGATAAAGCAATCATGAAATTCATATGGAAAAATAAAAGACCCAGAATAGCAAAAGCAATTCTAAGCAGGAAGAGTGATTCAGGTGGTATAGCGATACCAGACTTCAAACTATACTACAGAGCAATAGTAACAAAAACAGCATGGTACTGGTACCAAAACAGGCGGGTGGACCAATGGTACAGAATAGAGGACACAGAAACCAATCCACAAAACTACAACTATCTTATATTTGATAAAGGGGCTAAAAGCATGCAATGGAGGAAGGATAGCATCTTCAACAAATGGTGCTGGGAAAACTGGAAATCCATATGCAACAAAATGAAACTGAATCCCTTTCTCTCGCCATGCACAAAAGTTAATTCAAAATGGATCAAGGAGCTTGATATCAAATCAGAGACACGCCGTCTGATAGAAGAAAAAGTTGGCTACGATCTACATACTGTGGGGTCGGGCTCCAAATTCCTCAATAGGACACCCATAGCACAAAAGTTAATAACTAGAATCAACAAATGGGACTTACTCAAAATAAAAAGTTTTTTCTCAGCAAAAGAAACAATAAGAGAGGTAAATAGGGAGCCTACATCCTGGGAACAAATATTACTCCTCACACTTCAGATAGAGCCCTAATATCTAGAGTATACAAAGAACTCAAAAAATTAGACAATAAAATAACAAATAACCCAATCAACAAATGGGCCAAGGACCTGAACAGACACTTCTCAGAGGAAGACATACAATCAATCAACAAGTACATGAAAAAATGCTCACCATCTCTAGCAGTCAGAGAAATGCAAATGAAAACCACCCTAAGATACCATCTCACTCCAGTAAGATTGGCAGCCATTATGAAATCAAACAACAACAAGTGCTGGCTAGGATGTGGGGAAAAGGGTACACTTGTACATTGCTGGTGGGACTGCAAATTGGTGCAGCCAATTTGGAAAGCAGTATGGAGATTTCTTGGAAAGCTGGGAATGGAACCACCATTTGACCCAGCTATTCCCCTTCTAGGTCTATTCCCTAAAGACCTAAAAAGAGCATGCTACAGGGACACTGCTACATCAATGTTCATAGCAGCACAATTCACAATAGCAAGACTGTGGAACCAACCTAGATGCCCTTCAATAGACGAACAGATAAAAAAAAATGTGGCATTTATACACAATGGAGTATTACTCTGCATTAAAAAATGACAAAATCATAGAATTTGCAGGGAAATGGATGGCATTAGAGCAGATTATGTTAAGTGAAGCTAGCCAATCCCTAAAAAACAAATGCCAAATGTCTTCTTTGATATAAGGAGAGTAACTAAGAACAGAGTAGGGACGAAGAGCATGAGAAGAAGATTAACATTAAACTGGGATGAGAGGTGGGAGGGAAAGGGAGAGAGAAGGAAAATTGCATGGAAATGGAAGGAGACCCTCAGGGTTATACAAAATTTCATACAAGAGGAAGTGAGAGGAAAGGGGAAAATAATACAAGGATTGGAAATGAATGACAGTAGAGGGGGTAGAGAGAGAAGAGGGGAGGGGAGGGGAGGGGAGGGGGGATAGTAGAGGATAGGAAAGGCAGCAGAATACAACAGATACTAGTATGGCAATATGTAAATCAATGGATGTGTAACTGATGTGATTCTGCAATTTGTATACGGGGTAAAAATGGGAGTTCATAACCCACTTGAATCAAAGTGTGAAATATGATATATCAAGAACTATGTAATGTTTTGAACAACCAACAATAAAAAATTAAAAAAAAAAGAAAAATCCCAAAGCTACTTGCCCTAGATGATGTTTATGATAGCTTTATTTATTTATTTTTTATGGTAAAATGGATTGAACAACACAGGGCACTCAGCCACTGAGTCACATCCTTAGCATGAGCTCTTTTTCCCAGGTTGACCTTAATCATACAATTTTCTTTCTCTCTCTTTGCAGTACTGGCAATTGGACTCAGGTGTATTTTCTACCAAGGCATATCACAGTCCTTTTAGTTATTTATTGCTTAGGTTGTTCACAAATTTGCGATTCTCCTGCCTCAGTCTCCTAGGATTACAGACATGTGCTACCATGCCTGGCTGGCTTATGCGTGGTCTCTTGCTCTCTCTCTCTCTCTCTCTCTCTCTCTCTCTCTCTCTCTCTCTCTCTCTCTCTTGCTTGAAGTGGTGCTGGGGATCAAACCCAACATCTCTCAAATTCTAGGTACATTTTCTGCCCATGAGCTATACCTCCAACCCTATTTATTTTTATTTTTGGTGGTACTTACTCCTGTCTGAAATCATCTTCAAGTTCCTGTTAGGTGAAAGCACTGGTCTAAGCACCAGACACAGAGCAACCAACAAAACAGGCAGTCCTTGCTCTCATGGGGCTTCTAGTCTTGCTTCCTCGTATATTTATCTCCAGAAAGGATCACAAGCTTCCAGGGGATCAGGGACCTTGTTGTGTCTTTGTGGCTTAATGAGCTATTTCCTGAGAGTGACTCAATTTGTAGAGGAGGTGGAAGATACCTGTGAGATGTTGGAAAGAGCATCGTTGGAGATTGCCAGTGAAGAAGACTAGTTAGACTGGGTAGAGGAGTGGGGAGTAGTTTAAGCTGCACAAGAGACATGCTGTAACACTGGGGAGTGTGTACGTGTGGGAGGAGTGTGACATTTCAGAGAGAGTTGAGGTAAGAGAGACGGAGTAGAGTCCAACAGCCATGAATCTATGTAAGAGATGGGGGAGTATCAGGCAAGAAGGAGTTGCTAGTTCAAGGAGAGGTATTCCCATTTATCTAATAGAGATGTGACCCAGAATAGGGATGAGGTGAGACCTCTTTTAGAGAATGTTATCTGTCATCTGTCCTGAAAAGGGGGGAACTCTGCTGGGTAGATGTCTCATCTTTGCCCCACACAAATATGACACTAGGTTGACCATTTAAAACTTCCTCTAAATGAGGGAAGAGTTAAAGGAGGAGGTCCTGGGAAATCGGTCTCCTCTTCCTCCACTTCTCCCAGCAGGTCCCCATCTCCAGGAAGCCTTGGGGGCAACTTCTCTGCCCTTCTGACCTGCTTCTGAGTTTGTCCTTAGCACCCAGCACAGAGTGGGCATCCAGAATGTGGGCTGAGAGTGAGTGGATGAGGAGGAGGGAAGGGTAGCACTGAACTGATAGATAGAGTGACTGATGGGTGACATCACTGCCAGACTCCAGACATTTTTGATGTACCCCCCATGCCTATTATTACCCTTCCTCGATGAGCTCCCACACAACCAGCTGGTCCTTCTGCTTGGACCCTTGTAGTGAGGGGTCCCCAATATCTGCTCAGCTGGGGAGGCAGGGAAAGGCAGGTAGGACATGCATTTTCCCAGATGGGAAGCTCTTTAGAGTCTTGAGCCTCCCTTCCCTGCCTTCCCCTTCCCTTCAGACATTCAGCTCCTGTCCTTGGGGGCTCCTTCAGGGCTGTCTACAGAGTGCTAAGTGTGAGGGGGAGCATTGTGTAGATTCCTGGTCCCCACCAAGCACTTGCAGCCCCTCTGGAGCTCAATCCTTCTCCATCTCTCCTCCCTTTCCATTCACAATCCCTTTCAGTGGTGCCCAGTCCTTTGGGACTGGCCTGTGTTCTAGGCTTCTTACCATCAATCCCCCGCCGATGAAGCCAGGCATGAGCAGGACTTGCAAGCTGAGTTGTTCAGGGCTCCAGGTCTTTCCATCAGGCACCAGTAGGAGGGCATTGGCCCCAATGCAGACTAGGGAAAGAGTTATTAGGGAGAGTCCCACAGAGTGGCTATACTTTTTGGGGTTCATGGTGAGGCGGTAAGTGAAAGTGAGCCTTAGGTTCAGAGGAACACAGGCTAGAATGTGAATAAAGGTCAGAGGAAAGATGTGGTAGAAACTGGCAGGATCAGAATGATAAGGGAGAGAGGCCCTTATCACCAGCTGCAGCTGGTGAGAGAAGGGGAGGGTGTGGTGATGGAGCAGGTCGGGGAGCTAGTCACAGGCTGGAAGTTACCTGGTATCGGTGTCTTCTTCATCTTTTTTCTGCACACACCTCTCCATCATTCCCTTTTCATTCCTTACCCGTTTGTCTCTAGGTCACAATTGCCTCATCTCTATAAAAGGTAGAGTGATACCACTTGGCTCCTGAGATGGTTGCAGGGGTTTCTTAGGACAAGGGGACTATTTGGTAAACTAGGCAGCACAAAGGAGGTGTACAGTAAATGCATAAATGGGTGGGAGGTGAAAATGAAGAGAGGTAGAGCAGGATCACTAGAAATAATGTTGAGCTACTAGTGCCACTGTCCTGTCCTGAATAGTGGGCCTTCTCAATGTAGACCTGAACAGGGACTAAGAGCAAGACTAAGGGACTAAGAGCAGGCCATGAGCAGGCCACGTATTTGTCATCAAGTTGATCTCTAGTGAGTCTGAGAGATGTTTATTTTCTTCTTCTTTCTTCTTCTTCTTCTTCTTCTTCTTCTTCTTCTTCTTCTTCTTCTTCTTCTTCTCCTCCTCTTCTTCCTCTTTCTCCTATTCCTCTTTTGTCTTCTTTTTCAGATTGATTCTAGGGGTGTTTAACCACTGAGCCATATCCTCAGACCATTTTTCAATTTTGAGATAGGATCTTGCTATGTTGCTTAGGGTCTTGCTAAGTTGTTGAAGTTGGTCTCAAACTTACCATCTTCCTGCCTCAGCCTCCCTCCCAAATTGCTGGAATTATGGGCTTACACCACTGCACCTGGCAACATGGTACTTCTTTGAGGACAACAGTCCTTAAATACAGGCTCTTTTGCATACTTTGTAAGCCCCTTCCCACTGAGCCATGTCCGTAGCCCAAGAAGTTACTTCTTTTGAGGACAAGAGAGAAAAAAATATGTGTGTGTATGGTCCACAAATACTCATTATTTTTATGCAACTCTGTATGGATGAAATAATGTGAATAATGTTTCAAGACATTATAGGAGTTCTGAAATTTTTCTTCCAAACAAGGGGAGAGCATGTCACCCCAAAGACTGAGACAGATCTCTGAAGAAATATTTACTGTGGGATTTGGAAGAATTTTTCAGGAAGGTTTTCAGTGACATCACTAGGATTCTGCAAGTAAGAGCCAGAAAGAATGGCTGAGATGAAGAGGTGCTAGTAAACTAGGTGTGGTGGTGCATACTGGGTCCCACCTACTTGCAGGGCTGAGAGAGTAGGATCCCAATTGGAGTCCAGCCTGGGCAATTTAGCAGACCTTGTCCCAAAATTCAACAAAAAGGGATGTGGGTGTGTGTAGCTCAATGGTGTGGTAGAGCACTGGCAGAGCATGTGTGAGGCCCTGGGTTCAATAATCTCCAGTATGGAGCATGAGTCAATAATGAAATTACCAAATAAAATGTGGTAAGCATCAATTGAAATAATCCTTTACTTCTTTTAAAATTGCCTATTCCACCCCTGGAGAGCACATGTACCTTGTTAACCACTGTATTTCCTGTGCAAGTTAGTAGCTCAGTACCTGTGACAAAAATAAGTGGGGAGTGAGGGCTCCTAACAGGGTCACAGAACACCAAGCTCAGAAGGCCCTCACACACTTCTGCTGTTTAGGGCATACTCTGAACAGGGAGGGTTGGGGTGGACTCCAAGCAGTTTATTCCAGGGAGGTAGGGAATGGGCCAGCCAGGCTGGGGTCCTGGAGCAAGCAGGAATGACCTGGCCGTCAGTGGAGGGAGGCTCAGTGAGCTGAGCCCTTCGGAAATGAGGAAGGGAGTGAGGACTTGGCCAGAAGCAAGCAGGTCCCTCAACAAGTCCACCTTATGCTGTCCCACCTCCTTTTTCCTCCAGTTGGCACAAATGAAACTAATAATGTAACCCAAAGATTGGTCTTTGTCCCCTATGCCAATTCATGCCAATTTAATAATGAGGACACTGTTTTGAGGAAAAGGAAAAGTCATTTTATTGTTTGCTAGGAAGGTGAAACACAGGGGAATCCTGTCCCAGAGGCTGTGATTCTGCCCATCAGGGAAAACAGAGGGCTTATAAAGAAGCTCTTCAAAACCTACTTTCCAGGTGTGCCTGAGAGGGGGTCTCAGGGCATCTGGATAGTGTGTTAGGATTCACTTGTTAATGTGGGAGATAGTCTCTTCCTGGAAACACTGGCAGACATCTCCCTCTTGTGGAGCACAGATAATTCAAGGCAATCTTTTTCCTTGTCCCCAGGTTAGGAGGGGGAGGACAAAGAGAAAAAAAGAAAAACATGTCCCTTTTAAAAATAAGCCTCAGAGCAAGGAGGGCTATAGTCTAATCCTGAAGTTCTCAAGTTTTAAATTAATAATGTTCACTAGGTGTACACCACACAGCACTATTTCCAGGCAGGAGGCAATGACCAGCAAGAAGAAGAGCTTCACATTCCAGGGCACCACTTTGAGTGGCTCCTCACACAAATTCCAGGAAGTATCATTCTTTAAGTAAGAGCCTCTGTGGACAGATAGGGTACAGTGAGTGAAGGAGGTCACATGGCACCCTACCCTCACCCTTAGTCCCCTCCACTCACAGGATAAAAATTTCAAAGGTTAGTTAGACCCAGGTGGAGGGAATTCTCCTGAAGCTCAGTGGCATCCAGGGTCCTGGCCCACGTGGGAAGAGCATGGCAGCCATGGGATGCAGAGAATGGGGGTCACTAATAGATGCTAAGCCTTACGCAGTTTCTTGGAAGTGATAGTCCCACTCGCCGTTTATGGAGCATTTGGGTCCAATTCTGAGGCCAACTCCTGACACAGAGAGGCAGTAGATGGCACCAAGCATTCCGAAGACTGAGCACCAGCAGGAACATGTAATCTGGACCGGATGTGGAAGGTGGGCTGAATAGGGCTGCCCCCTCCCCATGGTGGCCTGACCACGCCTAGCTCTGCCCCCCACCCCCCAACATGGCCAAGTGACTCTGGAGCCAGGTTAAATAGAGATTCTCAGGGCTGGGGAAGCCCTCCAGAGACAGTGTGCTTGAAAATACATTTTCCTATAAACCCAGGGCTTAGACTACTTTAGGCAAAACTAAAGTAGTCAGCGGGTTTCATGGCAGTTAGGTATTCTGTAGAGGTTGCTTTGGCTCTGGGAGAGACTAATTTAGAGACTGACTCCTCAACCTCTCTCTCTCTCTCTCTCTCTCTCTCTCTCTCTCTCTCTCTCTTTGTGGAGTGGAGCCTCACTGGGGATTTAACCCCAGGGTTCTCTACCAGTGAGACTGATCCACAGCTACCTGTATTTAAAAAAATATATTTAGTAGTTGTTGATGGATCTGTATTTTATTTATTTATTTGCTTATTTATTTATTTGTGAAAATACACGGTCTCACACTTGCCAGGCAAAGCCCTACCTGAACCACAGCCCCAGCCTCATCCACAGCCCTTTTGATTTCTTGTTAATGAGAGAGGATCCTGCAAAATTGCTGAGGCTGGCTTTGAACTTGAGAAGCTTCTACCTCAACCTCCAGAGTCACTGGGATTACAGGGGTATGCACTATGCCCTGCTGAATCTCCTTTTAATTTGGATCTCACCCAGTTGGGATGTTCAATTGCTACCAGAACCGCTCCGATTCCCGGACACAGCACCTGTGAGACAAGAGTCACTGTAATAGTGTGAATCTGGCACCAAAACCAGATTCTCAAAGTCTTTACCTCCTCTGGAAGTTGCCTATGATGTCCTCAGCCTTTTGGGCCTCTCCTGGAGCATGAATGGGCAATACCTTACTTTATCATTATTTATGTGCTTACCTTATCTCTGTCCATATTTTAGCTTCCTTGAGGGTTGGGTTCAATATTAAATATTGCCTATAAATTTTGGCTCATGGTGTAGGTTCCTTTCTGATTGGGAATCAGGAGGACTTGAGTTGAGGCCAGGGCCACACTACTTCACACTCAATGAACTAATTGGTTTCTCTGGGTCTCAGTTTGTCCTAGGTAAAATTGGTTTGTAAAACCTACCTCATACAGTTGTTCTTAGGATTTAATCATAACTGGGGGGCCAGGTGTCAAGACTGCTTTAGAGTAAATGCTCCTTAGCTATAAATGCCTTCAGCAGTGGGAAGAGGTAGTGGTGGTGGAAGGTCTGGTGAGCTAGGATATGGTTGAGTATGCTCACAAATGCTGTGATGTGGAGTATGGGATTTCCTAAGATCCAGCCCCTAATCGTTTTTTCTTCCTGTGATATTTTTCATGGGAATATCACTTCTCCCAGGGAATCAGCTATTCCATTGCCAATAGTTACCTGAACATGCCTAGAGAAACAAATCTAACTGCCTGAAGAAGATGTCCACTCAAATGTCTTGGTTTTAGCTCAGATTCAGCCTGTATCCAAAGTGACATCATAATATTTTCCAAATTCATCTCCCTTTGATTTCCTCATCCTTTTAATTGAAAAATAGCATCCACCAGGTCACCTAGGCTAGAAAACTTTAATCCTTTTGTGCCTTGCCAAAGTCAAGTCTTCTTGACTTTTGCTTCAATGAATCTATCAGTTCTTTCTCCTTCTCTCATTCAATTCCTAATCATGTTCCATGAGGAAGATGTTCTTGGCTTCCTTACTAATTCCCGTTAGTTCTTACCCCATGCCACCCCACATTTCATTATACATGCCCCCACCAGATTAACCTTGGTGTTGCCAGGGTGGGATGGGGCACACCTGTGAGCCCAGAGATCCAGGAGATTGGGATGGGAGGATGCAAGTTCAAGGACAGCCTTGGCAGCCCATCTCAAAATAAAAAATAATGGGCTAGAGCTGTAGCTCAGAGGGAAAATGTTGCTGGGTTCAATTGGGGGTGGGGGTGAGGGTGAGACAATTTTCTCTCTTTTTTTGCATTGCCTTGGTACTGGGT